GTACCCAGTGCATGTATAAACAAAACAAACAAACAAAACCAGCAAACAAATAAATAAAGCATGCCTCTATAAAAAAAAAAAAAAAAAAAAAATCAAAAAAAAAAAAAATCAAAAAAAAAAAAAGTTGTGGTATATATACACAATGGAATTTTACTCAACGATCAAAAAAGACAAACTCATGGCATATGCAGCAATATGGATAAGTTAAAAGCAAAAAGATAAACATCAGATGGTTTACGTATAGGTGGAATATAGAGATACCAAAGAAAAAACTTACAAGCTGACCAAATATTTGAGGGACACAGCAAGAGGGATAGAAGGGGTGTCAGTATAGGGGAGGGCATAGCACAGCACAAGGGAATTTGGTGATGGATCATGGGTGCCATGGTGGTGGGAGAACTACACAGTAACTACACCTGATCAGAGAAATTAATTATTGTACGAAAATGAACAATGTAAAAAAATTAAAAACATATATATAATTCTCTTAAGATACAAAAACTACCCTCACTAAAGGATAACTAAAAAGAAATATTACAGAGTTCAAAAACACTGCAGCTGAAACAGAAAATGCCAAGTGCAGACAGGAATTGACAAGATTTAGACCACATTTAAAAGTTTTAATAAGAACAGCAGGAAGAAATGGAAAATTATGAGCATGGTTCTCAGGAACTAGAAAAGTAGTCAACATTACTTCAGGATTCATTACTGCAGTCAGCAATATATAACTGTAGAATAGAGATCTCTTGATTCATAAGAATGATGCACTAATAAGGAATATGACATAGGTAATGAATGAAACAACCTGACCAACAGCAAATCTCATCACACTAGGTGTTAGTCCTTGAGCGAGACACTAAACATTCCTGATACTTCATGTACTCTTCTATTAAAATAAAAAGTCGGGGCCTCCCTGGTGGCACAAGGGTTAAGATGCAGCACTATGAAGCTACTGGCAGCCACTGCAGCACAAGTTCGATCCCATGCCAGGGAGGTGACCCACAGGGTGCAGCAGACCTCTCCTGGCTCGCCCCTCTCAGCAGTGTATTTTGGTCAATCCGCCTGTTCTGTTCCCCACTCTGTCTCTGGTGAATCCTGTCACCACTACAACCCCCCCACTTCTGGCCTGTACCCCAGTTCTTGTATGCCTAAATAAATAAATCTCTATTTAAAAAATAAATTTTAAAACTAAAAATGAAAAATCTAAGAATCTGTTATGGGCATCAAATGAGATTTAGCACAAAACTCTTTAAAAATAAAGTAGAATGAACATGAAAATAGGACACACCCAAAATCATGGACATAACTGAAGAAATGCTGAGGGTGGAAACAATAACTACCAAATACATACATTTAGGAGGAAAAGTCTAAAATCAATGCACTAAGTAAGCGTCTCCAAAAATAAACAAACATACTTTGAAAAAGAAAAACAAAATAAACCAAAAACAAGAAAAAGAAAGAAAATAACCAGAAATCAGTTGTATTGAAAATAGAAAAACAATAGAGTAAAATCAACACAAGGAAGAACTGGTTCTTTGACATGATGCATGAAATTAAAAAACTTTTACCAAGACTGACAAAGAAAGGCAAAACAGACAAATTATAATTATCGGGAATGTATCATGGACTATCACCACAGGCCCAGCAGACATCAAAAGGATGAGGGAATACTATAAAGAACACTATGCAGAGGATTCTGGTGAATGCTCTCACCCTCCCCCCCACACTTATGGCCAGTACCCCAGCTCTTATATGCATAAATAAATAAATCTTTAAATTAAAAAAAAAGAAAAGAAAGAAAGAAGGCTTGAGTTGTGTAAACTTTCTGTCGATCTTTGATATCAGTCCCTTATCCATTGTATGGTGGGAAAGCAAACTGGTCCAGCCACTATGGAAAGCTGTGTGGAGGTTCCTCTGAACATTAAAAATGGATCTGCCATATGATCCAGCAATACCACACTCCTAGGAATCTACCCAAAGAACACAAAAACACTAATTCAAAAGGAAACCTTCACTTCTATGTTCATTGAGCACTGTTTACAATAGTGTCCCGAACCCTAATGTCCCGAAACAGGCAAACGGATCAAAAAGTTTGTGGTGTATTTATACAATTACTCAACTATCAAAACAGACAAACTCATGCCGTTTGTGGCAACACAGGCAGAGCTGAACCGGAGTATGCTAACCAAAATAAGTAGAAGGAAAAAGATAAATATTGCATAGTTTTACTTATGTGCAGAATATAGAGACAATGGAGGACAAGAATAGAAATCAAGACCCTTAGACATGAATGGCCAGACCAGGAGGCGCAACGCCCAAAAACCATCAAACTGCTACAGGAGTGTCAGGAGCACAAACATCTACCCACAAAGATGAGCCCCTCATTGAAAATGATAAAACCTAATGCTGCTCCCACAACAGGCAGCAGTCTTTCTGCCCACCTGTGACTATACAGGTGCTTCCTTTCACCAACTCTCTCCCTCCACAAGGCAGCAGCTTCCTGCCTGCCTGTGACCTGTACTGTGACCTGTACCTGCCAGGGCTTCTCTTCACCAACCTCCCTCAGCAGAGGCAGCTCTTTTTCAGGGTTGCCCGCCTGCAGCCATGCAGGCCTCTCTTAGCAAACCTGTCTCTTTTGGGCAGCTCATCCTGCCCGCCTGTGTCTACGCAAGTGTCTTTTACTGTGCTATCCCTTTTCTAATAAACTGCTCTTTAAATATAACTACAGTCTGTGTCTCGTGGAGAAACTTGCCTGGGAAACTTGCTGTGTGCTGCTGAAAGGGGAGCTCAGGTGAACCTTTCCCAGAGTGAACCCAAGCCCTCTCCCCCCCCACACCCCCCCCCCACCCCGCACTCCTATCTCCGAAAACCCCATCATTGGCTAGTTTTGGGGTGTTGCGCCTCCTGATCTGGGCATTGATGCCTAAGGGTCCTGATTTCTATTCTGTCCTCCATCAGAGACACCAAACAAAAGATCAAGAAAAAGACAAAAAAGTAGCAAGCTGACCATAGATCTAAGGCATACAACAGGAAGGGGGAGGAAGCTGGGGTGTGAGGCCAGGGAGGGAAGCACACAAAGGAATATCTTGATGATTCACAGAACTATGGGGACTACCCCTGAAGGGAGAAACCATTTATTGTACAAAAATAAACAAACATGTAAGAAAATTTAAAAAAGATAACTTTACTGTACAGCAGCTGACAAGAAATCAACATCAAAAAAGTGCTCTCTTATGCCCAATTTAATTTTGAATATTAATCTGAATCAGAGATTAAAAAAACACATTTTCCTCACACACGCACATGCACACAAAAACAGCAATTGTAAGGAAACAGTTCAGAGCAAACAACTGAGTCACCTCTAAAGACATGATGAAGCGGAAAGAGACCCAAGATGAAGCAGGCAGAAAAATCCTTATCCAGGCGCTATCAAAATTTTGGCTGCATAATTTTGGCCACATCACCTATCCTCTCCCACTATAATCGGAACTGTTCCTATAATCTAAAGGTCTAATTTAGAAGATTCCTTAGACCAGTAGTTCTCAAACTTTTTGGTCTCCATCCCCCAAGGAATTTTTGTCTGCATTACAACCATTATAGTACTAGAAATTAAAACAGATTTTTTTTTTTTTAAGTACACACAGGGACATGTTCCATTAGCACTCCTATAAAACCGTGAGATCATTCCACATCAAGTAGTGTTTGGAAAGATCGATTCCACTCTCCTAAGAGAGTGGAAAAGGCAATTAAGAGCTTAGTAATACATATATTTAATAACTGTACCCTCACTGTGAGGGCCACTATTGCATGAGATAAATATACAAAGTGATTTGAAAAGCATAAAACACAGGACAAACCAGTCACAAGTATTCTTATAAAGTATGAGTGCCATGGCAAAAAAAATGGCTCAAGTCCTAACAGAGAGTAACTCGGTCAAGTCTCATGTTGGGTAAAAAGGAGCTTCTAAAAGGCCAAGGAAGTTGGGCTCCATTAAAGGGTCGGAGAAGTATGCACAACTGTGGAAAGAAAATCACTGCCATTAGAGCAATCTGCTTGGCGTGTTCAAAACCGTTATCAAAAAGACGGAACTACAATCACTGCTGCATATTCAACTTTTGGCACAGACCAGGCAGCCGTGCAAAACTTGTGATCGCGGCAGCGCCCCAGCTCCGGCGGGCGGGGCGGGGGGGGGAGAGGGAAGGGGTCTCTCTCGCGTCCCGGGCGGGCTGCGCCCGCACCCGCCGTGAACGCGGCGCGCACCAGAATCCCTCCTCGCGCCGGGTCGGGCCGGCGGGCCGCGGGGGCGCGAGGGCCGGCGGGACGAGGGTTAGGACCGGCGAGCCGCACTCCCGCCCGCCGCCCCCGCGGGCCGAGGAGGCTACGCTGGAATTCCAGGGGAGGCGGGGCGCGGCTCCGGGAGTCGGCGGGGGAAGGGCGTGGGAGTGGGGGTGCCGAGAGGCGGAGGGGGCGTCGGGGCGGCCGAAACTCACCAAGTGTCGCGCCACGTCGGAGGAGGTCATGGTCCCGAGCGGGAATCCAGAGATGGCGGGCTGAGGGCCAGCGGAGCGACGGTCTGGCCCACGGCCTCGAACGGCGCAAGCCAGCCACGGCGGGAGCGAGCGGAGGCGGGGCGGGCGGGGCGGGCGGAGCAACGGGCGGGGCGGCCCCCTCGGGGGCGGGGCCCGGGAAGGGGCGGGCTCGCCTCGAGTCCTTAGTGACGCCGGCACCGCGCAGGGGCGGGGCCCCCGTCGGGGGAGCGCCAGGTCGTCGCGCCGCCGGCGAGACGAAGCGCAGCTTGTGGTTTCAGAGCCCCAGCCGGGGCGGCGCGGGGAGGGTGGGTGCTTGAGGAGAACACGAAGGAACCAGGCCCAGGGACCAGCCGGCGGGGGCCGGAAGTGGGCGTGGCGGGGCTCGCCGGCCGCGGCCGCTGAGGTTGAGAGCGGCTGGGGGTGGGGTGGGGACCGGAAGTGGGCGGGGCCTGTGGGCGGGGCCGCCGGGGCGCGGCACGGTGAGGCAGTGGCTGAGGCTCCGCGGGTGGGGAGTGTCGACGGCCTCCCGGGACCTAAGGGTGGTCGGAAGCCGGCGTCCTCGCGGCCTCGACGGCACTGAGGCAACCTGCCGGCCGCGGATGGAGGGGCCCGCGGAGTTGGAGCCCCAGGCGGTGTTGCGCTTCCTCGCGGAGCGCGGAGGCCGGGCCCGGCACGCGGAGCTGGTGGGGCACTTCAGGGGCGCCCTGGGCGGCGAGCCGGAGCAGCGCGCCCGCGCCCGCGCCCGCTTCAAGGAGCTGGTGAACGCCGTGGCCACGGTGCGCACCGACCCGGCCGACGGCGCCAAGTACGTACACCTCAAAAGGAAGTTTTGCGAAGGCTCCCAGCCGGCCGGGGCCGCGCCCCTCCAGGTCCCGCCCTGCGTCTCGGGCACCGCGGAGCACGCGCCCCCCGCGGGGACACCGGACCCACCGGAGGAGCCGGGGGAGAGTGGCCTGGGCCCCGAGGAGCCTCTGGGTCGGGGTGTCGAGCCCGGCGATGGGGAGACCCCCGCCGCCGCGCTCGGTTTACCAGACCCGACCGACGACGGGCGGAACCGACGGCCGGGGGCGAGTGGCGAGACCTGGAGCGAGAATTTCGGGTGCAACCTGCAGCCTCTGCCGCGGGGCCTGGCCCCAGAACTTGGTGGAGACCCGGCGCCCCCCAGCTGCAGGGAGACGCACGCAGGCGGCTTCCCCGGGGAGGTCGCCACCCTGAAGAATCCCCGCCAGAACGCTCGCGACCTGGCGCCGGGCAGCTCCCCGCAGCTGAAGAGGAGCGCCGGTCCGGGCGGCGGCCCCGCGGCCGCCTCCGGGGGAGGACGCGGCAGAGGCGGGGGCGACTCGGATGACGTCTCGGTCGCTTCGTCGTCGGCGGAGGAGGAGAGCGGCGGCGGGGCCTCTGTGGCGCTGGACCCGCTGGAGCACGCCTGGATGCTCTCGGCCGCGGAAGGCCAGTGGGACAGCCTGGAGGGGCTGCTGAGCAGCGATCCAGGCCTCCTGGCCAAGCGGGACTTCATCACTGGCTTCACTTGCCTGCACTGGGCCGCCAAACACGGCAGGCAGGAAGTCCTGGCCTTGCTGGTCAACTTCGCCAACAAGCACCAAATGCCCGTGAACATCAACGCCAGGACGAGCGGAGGCTACACTGCCCTGCACTTGGCCGCCATGCATGGGCACGCGGAGGTGGTGAAGCTGCTGGTGGGGGCCTACGACGCAGATGTGGACGCGCGGGATTACAGTGGGAGAAAGGCCGCGCAGTACTTGAGTCAGAGCACCGCTGAGGAGATAAAGAACCTGGTGGGAGCCCTGGACCTGGACCACAGAGAGAGCGCCGCGGGCGGTGGCGGTGGGCGCTGGAGGTTTTCAAAGGTGCTCCCTTCGCACCTCATCACCTACAGACTCTCGCACATGCCAGAGGATGGAGGAGATCCCCACCACCACTTGGCTGAGGGATTGGCTGGAGGCAAAGTAAAGGAGCCAGGTCGTAAAGCCTCTGGCAATTCTAGTGGAAGGATCAAACCCAGACTCAACAAAATGCGCTTTCGAACGCAAATCGTCCATACCACACCATCATTCAGAGACCTAGATCAGCCTCTGGAGGAGGGAGAGGAGGAGGAGGAGGAGGAAGATGACCACTCTCTTAAAGGCCACTCTTCATTCAAGTTGAGACCGAAGTCCAACGTATTTGGGTAAAACTGTCTTTCAGAAAATTACGAAGTTTGTCTTCACGGATAGACTATTAGATATAGGTAAGGATGTAAGTAAGGTCAGAAGTCACTTAGGCTAAATTCTGTGTTCTGAGTTGGGGAAGTTGGAATGGGGAGCACTTCATCAAACCTTGACCTGGTACCTTTGCACATGCCACCCTCTTCCCTGCCTTCCCTCTTTATCTGGGGATACAGAATTGATGATTAAGAGTTCCTTTGCTTTAACCATTCTTGGATACCATACAAAGTAAGAAATACAGCACTTGGAAGTATCTCTTGTTTAAAGGTGGTTACGCTCCCAGCTCCCAAATACAAATTGCAATGAAACCGACAGTATCTTTAAGGGTGAACAAAAACTGCACGCAGCCCTCGTTGATTGGATGGTTGGTGGTTTTTTTTTGCTAGTTGCATTTTAAGTGACTATGGAAGGACAAGTCAGAGTTGAATGCAGAAATACTAATTAAAGAATAATGAGTATGGAAATCCTGTTACTATCCTATTTGTATTGTTAAGTAGTCGATTTAAGAAAAAATCAATTTTGGCTGTAATCACTGAGCTAAAATTTAGGGCAACATTCATTTTTTTAAATTACTCTAGTACATTTTCCTCCTGAGTTTCTAATAGTGTAAATAACCAAACCAGGTCTTATTCTCACACCCAGAAAGCCAAACTGAACCCCAAGAAATGTCTTCAAACAGAGGAGTTTATTCATGGTGGCCTCAAGGGAGTCCCCTTTTCCCCCAAAAAAAACAGCTCTAGGAATGGTAGGCAGTGTTGGAATTACAGAATTGGGGAAGGAATGTGAGGGAAGTGCAGGGTTTCACATTTCCAGGTAGGAAAAGGTTCTGGGCAGTCTGGGCAACATGAGTGAAGGCATTTGACTTTCCCTGGAGGGTATTTTTCTCAGAAGATGTATGTTTCTGATGCCACTGTAAACCCAAAGGGACACAGAATTTTAGAGATGTAACACAGTTTTCCAAGTTCCCAGGAATGCAAATAGAGCCAGTTAATCCCGAAAAGAGGATGAGGGAAAGAGTTTAATTCCACTTATACTAGTTTTTAGGGTAGAGATTTTTTTTTTTTTTAATTTATTTTTGCAAAATGGAGGAGATCTGGACACAGTAGCACTGTTTTGAGAATTCGGTACGTTGTTTAAAAAACTACACGAAGTTTTATGTCAAGAAAATACTTTAACCACCCATGGTACTTTAAAATGCTGCCTCTGGTTCTAATTCTTAACTTGTTTTACTATTTTAAAAGTAAATATGCTGAGGTTTTTATCTTAGGGTCTAGGGGAGTATTGGCTCTGTTTTGCAAGACCCTCCTCTTTGTGGTGCTTAGAGTTCAGTTGACTATAGAAACCATTTCTGGTTTTTGGTGATTAACAAAAGTTGACATAAACATTAGCAAACCTATGCTTCTGTGAAGTAATTATTAAATCAACTCTGATTCTCATGTAAGGTATGCTTTTTACTGATGAAATCATTCATAGTCTATATGCTCTGTAGCAGTGTAATTTTAAAGTACTAATAATTTCAGTTTTCAATACTTTCTTGAATCCATTAGTGACACATGACATTATTGAAAACTTAGTATGTCTACCCAGTTAAATCAGCGCTTTGTAAACGGGAAAAGAAAGAAATGGGACTCTTATTTTTAAATGCTGCTGGCTAATGAATTCCTTTGTACCTAAATGAGAACATCAGTCATTAAAGGTTATGTGGATTTCTTTATGTTTTTACTCAAGTATGTTAGGGTAAATGCCTTGTAATTATAAAATTTAACTCACAAAATTAAATCTATTGTAACAAGATTCAAAACACTTATGTGGAAGACTAATTTCAACAAGTCCTTCTCATCTTTTGGATCTCCTGATTGGTACTGCAGCCTGTAGAGATTAAGCAGTAAGTTAGCAGTTTGCAGTGAATGAACCAGTATATTAATGCACAGAACTGCACTGTTTAGTTTCTCAGATCTTTAATTTCCCAAATAATAGAAATTTGTAAAAAGGTTGTCACTTCTCAGATAGCATTAATTCAACATATATACAAACTGTTAACTGTTGTGTGCCGTTATTTTTTGTTTTTACATTATGGAAATGGACCATGAACATTTGAGAAGCACTTTTGGCCATACATGTATGTGAAAAAGTTTTATAATTTTGTACAAATTAAATTAGATTCATTGAAGGTAAAAAGCAATCACTTGCTATGTATCATGTACACTTAGTGCAGAATAATCTATAACGTTCTATCGAGGAATTTTGTCATAAATATTAAGTAAAGTAAAGCGTAGAATATATCCTCTGCACCATTGAAATGTTCTATTGAATAGTATTAATGTCTTAAATATGTAGGTTAGTAACTAATCACATGAAATCAATAATTGCTACTTATTTAGATTGAGTCAATACTTAAATATTCACTAAAGATTTTCACTTTCTTGATAAAGCTTTATTTCTTATATTAAATTTTCAAAACTCATTTCTGCCAGAACTACTTCTTCTAACATTCTTTATCATGATGTGCTTCTGTGTAAGAAGTGTGGCATTCTTAACTACTTAGCTGTGTACATTCCTCTTATTTTCAGTTTCCAAATTGAGATTATATTAAGCAACTATTGGGCCTCCCCGTGTGTCGAAGCCTTTGCAGCGCCAGTTCGATTCCCTGCCGGCCAGGGAAATTCCCACCAAGTTGTGGCAGACCTCTCCTGTCATGCCTGCTGCTCCCCTCAGCAGTGTATTTTCGGTCCATCTGCCTGTTCTGCTCCCACTCTGTCTCTGGTGAATCCCTTCACCCTCCTGTGCCTCTGGCCTGTGCCCAGCTCTTGTATAAAAATGAATCTTAAAGAAAAAAAAATACATAAAGCAACTATTTGTGCAATTTGAATTTGTGGAATTGTGTTTACTAAAATGAGAATATGAATGTCATTTAGTTAGAAGTTTGTTGGAAAGAAGTTTTGTTTGAAAATCCAGCTATGTCCTTGTGTTTCTTATAAGTACACTGAAACTAGCTAATGTTTGTAACAATTCTCTTATATGGAATATGAAATGCGTGTTAGATTATATACCTTGGAAATCTCATACTATTTTATTCATGCCTGAAATCTTAGAGTCTGGCAGGCCATGTCCTCTTATTTTTTAAGGAAAACTTGGGAGTTTAGAAGTAAATTTGTCAAGTTTTGTCAAAATAAAAGTTTTACACATAATTTTTTTTCTCTGAATTGTCTAAATTTCATAATCCTTTATATTTTTACCCTGTTTGGTATTATCCCTTGTCCTTCTACCCTTATTTACAAATAAGAACATGAAAGTTGCTGACTGTAGTGGATGGCAGTTGTATTAACTCCAGTTCAGCGCTATTCACATTATGTTTTCCACAATTGAAATTGCCAAATTTTTGGCAAAACTGCTGCAGTTTGGATAATTAGGAGGAAACAAGTAGGGAGTACTTCCATCACTACCTTAAAAACATAAAAAAATGATCCTGTACACACTGTCTACCACAAACCTTTCCTACCCAGACTGGATTAAAGAAGTGTCTGAAATTGCTTTTTCTCTCTTCTTTAACCCCATTAAACATTGTGCATTAATAAATTCATTTCCTATTCAAGGCTTCCTTTGTTCTTTATCTAAAAAGTTTTAGTTCTGTCAGGTGGCAAAGGGAGTGAAGGTCCTGATGTAATTGCTCTTTTTTTTAGGAAGATTCCCCTTAAGATTACATGCTTTTTAAATTGCTGCTATTCATATATGACAATTTTTAAAAACATTTTGCAATAGTATGAGTTTAGAATGAATTCTTGAGAGAATCTTAAAAGAATTCATTGAGCAGTCTACTTGAAGATTCTTTGTATTTTTTCTTTGTGAAAAATATTTATTTCTGAAACAATGGCATTACTTGGCATTTCTTATAAGTTAATCCAAAAGTAAATACTCAGGGAATTTACTGCAACTACTTTTCCATCAATGATGAAATCATATTTTTATGACATTTATTGAAGGGCTAGAAGATGATACTTATGTGAACTTGTTTCCAAGAAATACTAATTAAAGATTAGTAATTTAAAGATTAAGAGAGAGCTATAGACTTATTTCATTGCTATCCAATCTTTTCCTATGAAGGACCTACCTCCACATTATCATGCTTTTTTCTCCTTAATTTTTCTGTCAGTTCATCTCAGGAAATGGCTTCCCCATTTGGTTAATAAAGTATTTCCATATTTATTGTGATGGCTATGTGGCAAGTGCCCAAAATCTGCATCAGTACCTATTGGAGGTACTCAAAAGTGGTTATTTTCCATTCATGGAAAACACCAAGGAAAGACTATGTAATGTTACATCTATAGTATTTTCACAGCAAAATGTATTCACAGCAAATGTATTAACAAGGCAGCAGTCTTTCTGCCCACCTGTGAGTATACAGGTGCTTCTTTTCACCAACTCTCCCTCTGCAGGGCAGCAGCTTCCTGCCTGCCTGTGACCTGTACTATGCCGGGGCTTCTCCTCACTGACCTCCCTCAGTGGAGGCCACTCTCAAGGCTGCCCACCTGCAACCATGCAGGCCTGTCTCAGCAAACCTGACCCTTTCGGGGCAGCTCTTCCTGCTGCTGTGTCTATGCAAGTGTCTTTACTCTTCTGCCTCTTTCCTAATAACCTGCTCTTTAATATATATATCTATATATATAGATATATATAAAAATAATAAAGGTGTAACAGTAAGTATTCTTCAAATACATCCTCTTAAGTAGCAGCCAACCACTTTATCTGTACCCAGCCAGCCAGGAAAAAAAAAAGAAAAAGATCTAGTCCAGTCCTGA